TTGTATATTGTATAGTATATATTGTATATTGTATAGTATATATTGTATAGTATATATTTTGTAGTTGATTGTAGTTGATTGTAGTTGATTGTACATAGTGCTTACTATACACTCAACAACAAACTAATCCTCGAGTTTCGAATTACGAGGATCATTCAAAGCTTGAGCAATATATTTAGTATGAGTACCTTTAGCAAACATTCGATCACCACGATAAAACTCCATAGATGTAAATGCAAGGTTAGATCCAAGTTTATGACATTTAGCAATAATATCAATATTATCACCAAGTTTACCACCACTAGATATAAATGTCATATTCATGTCAATTGACACACCTGTTGCAAACAATCCTTCATTTGCCACCGCCAATGACCCACCAAGATCAACAATAGCCGCTACAGTACCACCATGCAGAATACGTAACCTGTTCAAATGTCGCTGCTCGATAGGCATATGAAGTGCAACCTCACCTTTCTTGGCTCCAACAACTGTCATAGAACTCAACAATGTCGGCTCTAAACCTGATTCACTTAAAAAGTTCTTCCATACTGACTTCACAAACGGTAATCGCTTCACTGCCATGCTGCTATATTCCTGTTCATATACAAAAAGAGGTATAACCCCGCTTTCCGAAGACCTGATCCGAATCGGAACTCATCTACTACTAAGTAGGGTAACTCAACAACAAGTTTCGCTCTTCACCAAACCTTACTGCGACCTCGCCATTCGCCATGCAGCAGGCTTTTCGATCTTCCGTAATAGAGTATTTAGAGTCCCTGCCTGAACCTGTAGTCAGCAGACTCTATCAGGTGCCTGCTACATGTCTAGCAGTGTTCCGCCTGCTCCCTGAACTCGGCCAATATCTCGTCCTCAGCATCCTCTTTTTGAATCAACCCTTCAAAATGGCAGATCTCCCCATCAAATCAACCGCAAAGTCCCGTGTAGCCCTAGACCTCGTTCGCCGCAGACTAAGAGCGCTCTCTATTATAAGAGAACATGGTGGGTTTGCACAAATACACAAAAGTTTCAGACGTAACTTCAGAATCGCCCTAACAGGCGGCGACACGTCTAGGTCCTTTGGCGTCCCCTCAAACTCCCTCGACAAGTCTCCCGTAGATTCACAGTTCCTTGCCGCACATGCAAAACGCCATTGGGAATCTATACTTCACTACATGGTCGGAACTGACCTCTCAGATGTCCCGAATGACGGCGTCCTCATGCTCCTCCGTCACGCAGGTCTCATGGAAGGCAAGAATTTACACAGCATGTCTATCACCCAGGCTGGTTTCCAGTTTCTTCTTCAGGACGTCCATACACAACTCTGGGCGCTCTTGTTGCAGTACCTCAGCATCTCACAGCAATTGCAGATGGACCCCGTCGATATACTACACTTCATATTCATGCTCGGAAGCATGCAACTCGGTCAAGGCTACTCGTTAACTGATCTCTCACCTACACAGACAAATATGCTCGAAGACCTCTGCGACTACGGTATTGTCTACAAAAGAAGCAAATCCTCACGAAGATTTTACCCGACCCCACTCGCTATCATGCTCACTACGGATGCCGGCACGCTCGTCTCGCCGTCAGCAGCTGTCGACGCCGCAAACACTGCGCCAGACCAGAAAACGTCCGCACTGACACCAGCTCCTACAGTATCTGGGGTCCTGTCTAGCGAGCTGACTTCCATATCTGACGCTGCGCCCGCGCACTTCGTACTGCTCGAGACAAATTACCGCGTATACGCCTACACCTCTTCTCCCTTACAAATCGCCATCCTAAACCTGTTTGTGCATCTAAAATCTAGGTTCCCTAATCTTGTGTCCGGAGTTATCACGCGCGACTCTGTTCGTTCTGCGCTCGCTCATGGCATTACCGCTGAACAGATCATCCTATACCTTACCGTGCATGCCCACCCGCAAATGTTGCGCAACGACCCTGTACTCCCGGGTACTATCGCTGACCAAATAAAGCTCTGGCAGCTAGAAAAGGAGCGTATGACCACTACCCAGGGATACTTGTTTAAAGACTTCAGCGGCCCGCGGGAGTATGAGATAGCTGCGAGGTATGCCACAGAGATTGGCGTTCTCACTTGGCAGAACCCCAAACTCCGTGTATTCTTTGTCAATGAGGCAGGAAACTCGCAGGTAGTCGATTTTATTAACCGCCGCCTGAAAAAGTAACACTGCACGCTGCCTTTGGCCTGTACTCCTTGCTGCCTATAGACGCCTGCGAACCTCCCAGGCCAGCTTTCTTTTCGACTCCAACTCTCGTGCGTCTGCATGAATGATCCGCCATGACAAGCAAGCGGCCGCAGACGAAAAAGTTCAAAATAACTAAATCCAAACCGAAAAACACCTCTACTGTCCTGAAAGTGCTGGACGAATCCAGCAACGAATTGGTTGCGAAGTCTCGATCCACTACAGTCCAGTCGTTGATAAAGGTGCTGACGGGTGGCGACACTGCTGCCGCGTCTCAGGCCGAGCAACTGGCTACAGAAATAGAGTCATTCCAGTTCGAAAAGCATGACGGCGTCAATGCCAGCTATAGACAGGATACAAGAAAACGGCTGCAGTATCTTAGGGACCCTAAGAACCATCTCAGAGCGAGACTCGTTGATGGTACACTGTCCCCGATAGAGTTCTGCGCCATGACTGACGAGGAAATGGCTTCAGAAGAAAGAAGACAGGAGGACTTCTCGCTCAAAGAGAGAGAACTGCGCAGATCTGTCGCGGAAGCGGTCCCGCTGAATATCCAGCAGCTCAAAGACGGCAGAACTTCATCGAAGTGGGGGCTCGAGTCATCCGCTGCTGCAATAGAAGATGGAGACGCATAACGTTCCGCCATTCGCTTCCATTTTACAATACACGGAAAAATCCATATGCATAGATGCCGAAACTATTATTTTTATGATTATGAATGAAACGAATCACATTATTTTTAGCCAGCGAATCATCGAGATTCGAATACTTATAAATGAGGGTTAGGGTAATTGACAACCATTACTAATTTTTTTAATACGCTTTCTTTTCGCTCCGATAAACATGGAATTTACCACAACTTTGGCCACATTATGTCTTCAATAGTAGTACAGTCACAATCTTCTATTCCTTTAGTAGCGCATAATCTGCCTGCGCCTGAGCCGGAACATTGCCCGGGCCCCGAGTCGGAACAGGCAGGTACCGCAGATTCTTGCGCCGGATGTCCGAACCAGACAATCTGCGCCGCCAAATTGCCTGTAGGGCCTGACCCCGACATGCCCGCTATAAAGGCACGACTTCAAAATATTAAGCACAAGCTGCTGGTACTGTCCGGTAAAGGAGGCGTTGGAAAGTCTACGTTCACTAGCATGCTGGGCTGGGCTTTTGCCGCCGACGAAAACCTCGAAGTTGGTATCATGGACATAGACATGTGCGGGCCCTCAATGCCCCGTATGATGGGGGCAGAAAAAGAACAAATTCACACTTCAAATTCCGGATGGAGTCCAGTGTATGTCGCAGATAATTTGGGCATGATGTCTATCGGGTTCATGCTTCCTAATCCCGACGACGCAGTCATCTGGCGTGGGGCAAAGAAGAACGGACTCATAAAGCAGTTTCTCAAGGACGTTGATTGGGGAACACTTGACTATTTAGTCGTCGATACTCCACCTGGGACTTCTGATGAACATTTGTCTGTTAATCAGTGCTTAAAGGAATCCGGTATAGATGGCGCTATAGTTGTGACTACTCCTCAAGAAGTGTCTATTCTTGATGTGAGAAAAGAACTAGACTTTTGTCGCAAAGCGGGTATCAAAGTTCTCGGAATTATCGAAAACATGTCCGGATTCGTGTGCCCTAACTGCAAAGGCGAATCTTTCATATTTGCACCTACTACTGGTGGTGGTAAGGCATTGGCCGAAGAGTATAAAGTGCCATTTTTAGGATCGGTACCATTAGATCCTAGAATAGGGAAGTCGTGTGATATGGGCGATTCTTTCCTAGACGAGTATCCGGACTCCCCTGCTTCTAAAGCCATTTTAGAAGTTATCAACAATGTTCGCTCCCAGATTGAGAATTGAACAACGCATCTATAACAGCATCTCATGACATTTTGCATGTGCTAGCATAATAAGGTAAGTTTTCATTGGAGACACTGGACTGAATGATTATAGACATTTACTGAGGATGTGCATGCAGGACATATTGTTAATAAGGAATTCTTCGTTTATGACAAGCTAATCCGGAACCTCATACGTGAAATTTGCGTTTCAGCCACTAACTGTTAACTAGTAAGTTAATCCTTTTCTACTTTAGTGTTTGCTATACTGATGAAACTCTACACATTAGTTTCCGGTGAATTGGATGATCCTTGAAACAACATGCATCACCATCTGAACTAGCATTCCCACTCTCGTGGAAGTTCACACTAACCAACACTAGAGCACGCATATTTTATTACTTCATAAGGAAGTTTTCAACTAATGAGGGAAAGGTACGTTCTTTATATTTACTAGTGTTAACATGATGAAGAAACTATAACCAGTTCTGCTACTGAGCGTTCTTGAAGATAAACCAAACTTACCAAAACTTCTGATTGACACTTTCCGAGAGACAAGGAAGACAAATCGACTAACTCAATAGTGTAAGTCATTAAAACTACAACGACAGTTTGAATGAAGAAAACTAAGTTATTATCCATTCAACGATCGCGTTCTATATATTCTTATTTAGATAGGGTTTTCTTGTCTTTATGAGAATCGCGAATGCGAAAGGACTTAAATCGGCTTGCTGAACATACTGTCCCTTTCTATATGACTATTTACTAACTAACAGGATTTATTTGGGTATACAGGTTTATAACATTTGAATATTTTTATACAATCTGTAGAATGTGACGTTTTGTGTATGATAACTTATTTTACTCTTTTATAACAACTTACTCTAATAAATATCTTAACATAGAAAGCAATAAGAAATTGCCCGGTGGCCGACTGGTCATTGGCCTAGTTGGGTTAGGGTTCTGTGGTGTAGTTGGTTATCACGTCTCGTTCACACCGAGGAGGTCTCGCGTTCGAACCGCGGCAGAATCAAGCTCAGCTTGTCTTTTTTGCCAATTTATATATTTGTTAACAGGTTAGAGATGCTAAAGGGTTGTATTTTTTTTGATGGAATAGCTCTGACACTGCTTGGTGGTGCATAACTGTGTGTTAAAATAGGCGCTAATAGGGTTCTACCCTAACGTGACTGTGTGCGTTGGGATGAACACTCACTAAACCACCACCTGCAGATTGAAGCAAGACTACTTTTCCACTACACATATAACGGAATTACCAAACATATATATTCGATTTGGGAGGTAGTTAAAGATGTCTAAACTTTCTACCGCATCAGTCCGTAGCAATGTTCAAGAATTATTAGAGGCTTCTAACAAGAAGAAGCGTAACTTCCTTGAGACCATTGAACTTCAAATTGGTCTTAAGAATTACGATCCTCAAAGAGACAAGCGTTTCTCTGGAACTGTCAAACTTCCTTTGGTTCCTCGTCCTAACATGAGCATTTGTCTTTTTGGTGACGCCCATGACGTTGAGCGTGCGCGTTCTATTGGTGTTGATGCCATGTCTGTTGATGACCTTAAGAAATTGAACAAGAACAAGAAGCTGATCAAAAAGCTCGCCAAGAAATACAACGCTTTTGTTGCCTCCGAGACTCTTATTAAGCAGGTTCCCCGTCTTCTTGGACCTCAGCTCTCAAAGGCCGGTAAGTTCCCTACCCCAGTTTCTCACTCCGATGACTTGTACCAGAAGATCCAGGAGGTCAAGTCCACCGTCAAGTTCCAGTTGAAGAAGGTTTTGTGTCTTGCTGTTGCTGTCGGAAACGTAGAAATGAGCGAAGACGAGATTGTCACTCAAATTATGATCGCCTCTAACTTCTTGGTTTCGCTACTTAAGAAGCACTGGCAAAACATCGGATCTCTCACCATCAAGTCCACTATGGGCCCCGGTATCCGCATCTATTAAATGTATATGATGTCTTCTTGAACCAATATCTTCGTATTGTAGATTTTTTTATATTTTCTAGGTCGAAAAGCAACGATAACGATTCCGCGCTGGCTTGAACTAGACTGGGCTGATTTGACTGGCCTCCCAAACGTGCCTTTTACCAACCCCACCAGTCCACCGTCTGTTTACCATCATGGAGGAAAAGGCAGACGAGGCTATCGAGGAATTAAGGGACACAATCGTGGACCCTGTTGATGAGCCGGAAAGCGCACCTGGATCGCCTGGATTGCAGGCCGCAGACGCCGATGAGGACATGGACCTATTTGGAGCACAAAGCGACGAAGAACAGATCGAAGCCCAGACTGGCGGGTCGCCTGAAGACATATTTGGCGCGATCTCGGACGATGAGCAGGCGATCCAACAAGATGAAGAGCCTATGGACGTTACAATGGAGGTCAAACTGCCAAAATATGACAACGCCGTTGGCGACTTCAAGGAGACCTATACTGTAAGAGTACCTGCTTTTCTGTCGGTGCAACCACAAATTTATGATGAAGAAAAGCATTTAGGAATGGACGAGTTTGGGTCTAGTTCTGGAAAGGAGCTGCTCGCTCAGGTTCGACACCGCGTCGAGAACACTATTCGTTGGCGTCGAACTGCAGACTCGCAGGTGCAATCGAACGCGAGAATTGTTCGATGGTCAGACGGCTCGCAGTCTTTGCAGGTGGGTCAAGAGTTCTACGACATTACTGTCAGCTCGAGTCTTGATAATGTAGTTGCTGTTGCTAGAGACAAGCAAGGTGTGCTGGACGCAGTCGCTACTGTAAAAGACTCCCTGGTTATTGTTCCTACATCAACCGCTTCACATACTCACAAACTGTTGGTACAAGCAGTTCAGCAGCGTCAACTGAGAGAGAAGTCCGCCACAGTCGGAAGCTTTGCTACAACTGTAGACCCGGAATTGGCGCAAAGAGAAATTGAGAAACTCGAAATGCACAAACTGCGTGCCCGAAGAAAACTCGAAGCCAAACGTCGCAAGGAAGAAGAATCACAGTCAGATTTCTACAGTGCATCACGGGGGGAAGCTTCTACTACAGCTCAGCGGTATGAGACAGACGATTTTGTAGTCTCCTCAGAAGAAGAATCTGAAGAAGATGGCGACGATTTAGATGCTGTTGACGAAGAAGCTGAAGAACAGCGCCGCGCTGAACGCTTGCAACAAGTTAAACGTAAAGGCGAACAGATGTATCGCAAAGCAGCAGATGATGAAGACGACGAAAATAATGAAGAGGAAGACGAGGAAGAAGAGGCAGCTGGCACTAGTGGATCTGAAACTGCTGCTGACACTGATGCAACAGAATCGAACCAAGGGTCGCCCAAAGAGTCGGCAGACGGCCCAGAGACCGCTGAATCCGCACAAGGAAACTCCACAGCAGCTTCTCGAAGACGCCGGCTAGTTGTTGACGATGACGATGACGAAGAATAGAATCAGAATCAAAGCAAAAACAAAAAACAAAGACCTCTAACCGCCAACCAAATGCTTTACGAAACTCAATTGAATGTATTGTGACCCTAACCCTATTTCCAACAATATAAAACCACCAGCGAAGACTTTTTTTGCTCCTTACATCAGTAGGTTATACTAATACTAAAAATATTTGTATAATTTAAATGGGGGCTAAAAGTTGAAGAATATGGTGGGCCTGGATCATTGAAGGGTAATGATCCGCTATTGACTTAATTGTCAATGACAAGGGTCGCAGGTATTTTATCGTATATCTTCCGTTCCCGCCCCTTAGAAAGAATTCGCCGTTATGCTCGACTATTCCATTTGAGTGTTTTATAATGCTTAGGTGGACGGGACAGCGGCACATATATTCATCTACATATACGAATATATATTATGTAATTCATATCATGTAGAGCGCGTAGGAAATGATTGTAGTGGTTTTTTAAAAGAAAAAAAAACCGTACATCAACGGAAAATTTTCCAAACGAACAGGAGAAAAGAAAAAAAGAATCATGCTTTTTTTAAAGCCAATAAGTTTGTAAGTTATATACATATATGTATATATATATGTATATATAATATAAATGCAATCTTTAAATGCAATCTTTAATTGTCATAATTCAGAAACGGATTTAATGTCCTCACCGAAAGACAAGGCAGCGATGATTTTCCAAGGTCGGCTCTGAGAATAATCGGAACATGTCTCAGTTCATTTATTTCTTGAATATAGTTATTGCCATCAACTCGAACCTTCAAATTCTTCAAATATTCCTCAAGTGGATTCGGAACTGCTTTGAGTGACTGCTTTCGTTCAGATATAACCAACTTAGAGTCCTTATCGCCTTCAGCTAATAGAGTATCACGTCTAGGAATATTCTCTGGAATGTATTCATTGGCACTTGCCGGTGACTCTAGTTTAGCTGCAGATGCCTCCTTCTTTGACATTAGAATCGTCGCCTCAACATCCTCTTCTCGCTCAAATATTTCAGCAGCATCGAGTAATGACGGGAGCTCTTCCACAGAATCATCTAATTCAGGCATACTCTCATCGTGAAGCTCAACAGCACCGCTACCAAATCGGCTAGCTGAGCTGTTATCTCTCGATAATGAAACTTGTACCGCAGCTGTTCGGATACTAGATGATCGTACTCTTCCTGTTGATGCGCCAGAAAGTTTACGACTTAACGCAGATTCTTGCTCATCCACAGGAACATAAGTAGCCGGATCAACACCTTTCTGCCAGAATAGTTCAAGGGTCCTTGTTTCTTTGTTATACTCCGCCTTGTGTAAAGGAAGTTGGTCACCGTGCACTCTCTTCTCAATACCAAACTCTGGAATCAGAACATCAAAAGCGGAATCGTATACATTGATGACTAACCCGTCACAGATCAATTGGCCAGTCTCCTTGGACATTTGATCAATCTTCTGACATAATCTCAAGTGAATGGCCTGCATTTGGGCATTGGCTGACGATTCTTTGCGGAAGTTGTAATGCTCAGCTGCTTTGGCTAAACCATCGATATCCTCGTTATACTCGGAATTAGTCAAAACAGCGCTAAGCTGCTGATGTGTCACAATATCTGCATAACGGCTAAATGGTCGATCGAAATGAGTGTAAACCGGCAGATTGAATAGGTAATGCTCGTAAAAATCAGGGTCAACCTTTTCCGGGACATAATATTTGGCTCGCTCCATATACTTCACCAAAAGCGTTTCCAGCCCATGGCGCACAGTGTCATCCGTGATTTGAAACAAGCTTCTGCACAGTGCAGACCCACTGCTCACATCAACGTATAATCCCAGTTTCTGCATTTTATAGCTGAATTCTGATAGTTTAGGAATAAATGGTTGCGGTTGATGTCTCAATAGAGCACGTCCCCCTAAAGAGTCGTATAATGTTTTGGCTATTATCGAATTAGTTTGAATCGATATTTCGCTCATCATCTCAACCGATGGACTAGATGCAAAAATATGGTCGCTTATGTAAACCAATTCATCGTCAAGCTGATCAAGGACTCGGAGAATAGGAACACCGGCTGCAGGAGATGATGGGTGAACCCCGTAACGTCTTTGGCGCAATCCTTTGGCAACGACTGCTAACGCCTTGATAGTATCACTCAGCCGTGCGTCAATGTTCAATGTCGAAGTAGGATCGTGAATAGAATCAATGTCTTCATATGTAATAGCATTTTCAGGCTTGATAACTGCTCTGAAAATTCTGGGGCCTGCTGTAGTCTCGTAAGTACGCCGATCTATGTCAAATTGAATAGCAATCGATACTCTTTCCTTGCCTGGTACAAACCCAACTGCCTTTAAGAATTCTGGAGGAAGCATTTGAATAATACGGTCTTTAGACAGACAGGCAGAAGAACCACGCTTGCGAGCTTCTCTTTCAAGGGCAGACCCGGGAGCTAAAAAGTTCGACACATCAGCAATATGAATAGTCAAACGACCGGCTGTTTCATTCTGGTAATAATCAACAGCAATCTCTGAGCCACTTTCGACGTCATATTGAGCAATTGCTATAGGATTAGTATGACGCAGGTCATGACGAGAACTAACTAAGCTCTCTGAAAGCGTG